GTATGTGCTTCACCGCCAGTGAATTCAAAGGGGGCAGCAGTGCTAGTTCCAAAGATTTTCTAGCTTCAAAGTTTTACTGCGTTAGTTACCACAGCACCCCAGTCTAAGTGTCAGAGATGCAAGGAAAAACAAAACAAAACAAAGCATGAAACTAAATTATGTAAGTACATTGAGTAAGCCCGAAATTGTACAGTTTCACAAATACAATTTTTTACATTTTGTTGTTATTTGCTGCTCTCAATCTGTAGAGACCATTGACATCTTCACAAAAGATACTGTCCAGTGCCTTGAGTGAGCTTTACAAACTTACAGAGATTCTGGACAACTCATATGGGAAATGCAGGTATACTGTTGTCACCTGTCACCACACCAAGAAGCTTGCTTAGCGTATCATCACCAAAGAGTATCTCCAGCTAGTAACAGTTGAAAGTCTCCGCCGATAATGCTGAAACACATTACACATGGTGTAAAGGGCATGAAAAAACAACTCTCTTTTTTTCACATCAAATTTCATCAGACCAACCATTCTAGAAGGAACACAAGAAATACAGTCTATTTGTACTGCTCTGTCACCTGCCCTTCTTCAATCTGCTATCCTGTTGCTTCTTTCTTTAATGGGAAGAGCCTGATGACCAAGCCCAGACAACAGAAGTGAACTCAAGCATGGCTTTCTTGGCTAATGCGTTCAGTCATTTTCAAGCCGTGGTTCTGGGATTCACCAGTCACTTTTTGTGGATTCTCAGAAGAGGACCCAGAAAAGCAGGTTCATACACACTATGAAACAATCATTTTCAGCATCATAATCTATGTCTGCTATCACTTTTGGTTTCCTTATGATCAGTAGCTTTTCTTCTAAATTTTGTTTCCTTTTTAAAAGCATTTTCTCCTAACAGTTGTCGCTACGCATCTTCTGTCACTACCTTTAGTCTACGCAACTCAAACTCTCATCAGTTCTGTGGCTTCCTTAAGATGTAGTTCAGTTGAAGAGAAAAAACAGAAACAGGAGAAAGACACTTCCTGCCCTTTGGGTGTAGATACTAACATTTCCGTATGCATGTAGGTCGCATTCACACAGGTATGTTTGTGTTTGTATTTGAGTTGTTTTTTCAGAACCTATTAGAGACACTAAGTGGGCACTCCACTGCAGAGGTAGGCTGATGTTTTCAACAACTGTCAATTTAAGTAAAAAAAAAAAAAAAATCTGATTACAGAAATGCGTTCGAAACAGAAGTGAGGGAAGTGCTAAAAGCTAGGTTGAGTGAATTCCTTATGAAGACCACATAGAAGCAGAGAGCAATATGAGTCTGCAGTGGATGTGCAGCACTTCAGTTAGTAGTTTAAACATGTCATTGGAAAATGCAATGTTCGCTACCAACAAAGGACGACTGTAAATAATTTGTTGCTTCAGCTGTTAAGGCTTTCGTTTTTTTCTGGTTCTGCCCTTTCAATTCCTCTATCCCCTCCCACATACTGCTATTTTTATAAATAGCCAACACTACCAGATGTCACTGTCATCTGCCACCAATACACCATCACCCTTTTCTGATGAGGTTTTTGCTACTTCTAATCTTTAGGTTATGTCTAAGGTTTCTGGCATTAGGAAAGCTAGGAAGTAGAGAAAGAGGTGTTAAAAAACAAAGTTTGAACTAAGACTCCATAAATGTAAACAGTTCTTCCATCATGTTATTAGTTTACATGACAAACTAAGCTAAATAAGCTAAGGGAAACTAAGCCATATACACTGATCTCTCTCTCAAAAAAAAAAAAAAGATAAACAAAAAAATACAATTAATGAAAAGGATACCGTTACCCTGCTATGGGACAGGATTTTGTTATGTTTTTAGCAATAGAAAATGTGTGTAATTTGAAAGAGTGATAGGGTTTGTGGAAGGTGGAAAAGATGATTTGACTTGACACGTGACTCCAGTGTTCCCAGTCCCAAAGAACAGTGTCTCTCAGAATGATATGTATCACGGACAAAAAATTAAATACAAACAAAAAAAAAGAAATATAAACAAGTTTGCAGATGGAAAGAGGAATTAGGGAAACATCTCTGGGCTGCAGAGGGATGCATGAATAAAAACCCTTACAAGACGCCTTTTTCAAATATTTATCCAATTACCAGTGCACAAATGACCAAACCAATGGCCCACTGGCTCAACATATAAAAATAATTCATTAAGACAATGATGCTCGAAGGGACAGGTTTATTACATCTCCTACACCTTTTCGTTTCTGAGCCGGTGACCAAAGCAATAATGAAAACCTTAATCCAAAAAACATTTACAGTAAATTTAGTTTCAGGTTCTGAAATGAAAAACACAATGTATTTGTGCTATTAATTAAAACACTATTTGATTCTCCTCCCTTCTCACACCCCGGGTGATCCTCTAACCTTGCAATGGCATTTTCCATACAGTAATGCTTAAAAAACTACACTAAACACAACATAATCCTAAATAATAATTCATTTTTAATTACATGGTATAGAATACCTTGCAAACAAAAGACACTCATTAAGATTTACTGACAGGTACTGTATTTCTGGGCAACCCTGTAACAAACCAGAAGAAAAAACAAAGAATTATTCTATAACCATGAGGGAAAGAAACATCCACCTAGATGTAGAGGATTCATATGGCAAAACTTAAACTAAAGAAAAAATCCACACTTACAGCAGATTTTTTTTTTAATTCTTAGTGCAAGAAACATAACCAAGTTAATCACAGAATCAGTACTAATTAAGAATATGGAAAATTCTCCTATACAGAGGTAGAGTCCAGTGCACAAGGCTAAAACGATATTCAATAGTCTGAACAAGACTGAGCCAGGTTTTACGGAATCCACTTTTTAAAGTATCAGACTGTATGTACATACATACAATAAATAGACTATACAATCTTTAAAGTAGTTTAATAAACTTCACAAAAATTATAGTAGATGCATTGAGATCTTTACATAATCCAAAGTTCATATCTCTATCACCCAGAAATGGATAAAACCAATATTCCTGATATCAAGTTAAATGGAAAATAGTTTAGCAAAGTGTTGATAAATCAAAATATTTTACATATTTTAAAGCCTAAATTTCTGCTTATAAAGGATGAATTTCAAATGCTCTGAAAATGTTCCTTTTGATACTATCTGTAAAGAGGTTTCAAATGCTGTAATTGGCATTTGTATTGTTATAAACACTTTCCTTACATTCCATGTTCAAGGGAAAAATGGACTTGGATACTCACAGTTCTGATGCATTGGCACAACAAGAAGTGATGAGAATTAGGTTATTTTAAAGGCCCAAAGGACATTAGGAGAACTTATGGACAAAACCTTCATGTCTCAAACTACACAAATCACATTAGAAAGTTAACAGAAAACTGTTTGGTATTACTACTTCAATCCTGTCAGTGCCTCTCCGCCCGGAGGCATCCGATTAGCATTGCACTGGAAGTCAAGTGTGCATCTCTGGGCCTCTAGGTTTGCTACAAGCCCATAGGGCTTAATAAAACAAATACGGAATCTTTATGGTTTACCACAGTAGTGCATAAATCAGGGACATCTGTTGCCATTCATTTCAGTGATAGTTGCAAAGAAAGGATTTCAGGGAACTGAGAGTTTTCAGCTCTATCTTTCTAAACCGTGCAAAAAAAAAAAAAAGGGAAAAAAAAAATCACCCCGAGGCATTATAAAGCAAATATGCTTATACTGACACGTTATTTTCTATAAAAGGTTCTTACAAATTCCAAGGGGGCAACAACTAGTGACAAAAACAGAAGAGCTTAATAATCAGAATTGAAAGTTATGTTCACAGTTCGGTTACTTTTAATTTCTGTAAGCACCTACGCTGAAAAACACAAGGGTTTATTTTAGCTTCAAAATCGAATCTACTTGTGACAAATACCTTGTTAAGATTTCCATTCTGCTCTTCTACAGGCCTTCTCACTGGAACAATTTTTTTAATTTTTTTTTTTTATTTTATACAAACAGACTCAATTTGATTTAAAGTAAACATATAAAAATTGAGAATATTGCTTGCAACAATGGACCTGGAGGTGAAGGAATGAACTAGTCAGGCCATACAAAAAAACAAATTTCCCTCAAAATGAATTCTGCTAAACTTCTAATGCTATGAAAATCTGCAAAAAGGATCACAAGATCTGTTGCAAATTTCAGAGATTTGGCCCAGGTCTTATCATCATCATCTGAATACTTTAATAACTGTATCTTTATATTAAGGAAAAATAAATGATTCCAAAAACTCAGGAAGGCACACGCACCCAAGTATACTATAAATAAAACACATCATGAAATTACGAAGATCTTCTGATCCCTGTACACACTTTTGGTTCAGCACTACGGTCAAGTTCTCTCTTTTGAAATACAATAAAAGGCATACAAGAAATATAACATATGCATAATAATTATGAAGAATAATGCTAATAAGACAGCTTACAGAGAAAAGTGCAGTGAAAAAACCCAACGCTATTTATTCAGGGGCTTGTGCTACTGTAAATACAGACTTCGTATTTGCTGCTGTGCAAGGGGAAGAATTTATCCTGGGAAGCAGCAATGAGGAATGCAAAAAACAACAAAAAATAAAAAAGATATTAAGAGAAACCTTTAGGATGGAACTCTCCCAACTTCATTCCTCTAGTGCACTGTCATCTGACTACATGGTTTGTTTTCATGCTGCCGTTTCTCTTCATGAGTACAGCATACTAGAAAATGGCACAGTTCTTAAATATTTTTCTGCCTCTACTTCATTTTTTTGTTTCTTCTTCCAAGCACCTGATTTGCTGTTTCCTCATAAAAGGGTAAAGCTGTTAGCAAAAGTGAGAAAAAAAAATTGTTGCCCATCTTCTCTCCCGAACACTGATCTCTCCATTTCTCCTTCCACTAGGTATTTTACTCGTGTGCTACACAATGGGGAGGCACTGTAAAGGCAGCTTGACAGATTTAAAAATAAAAAAAATTAAAAGTCTTTTTTCTTTAGCCCCCCGCCTCCAGCCCACCCCCAAAAAAATGGATGGATGAAACAGTACGTCCGTAGGAATATTCCAGTCTCCTCTGTTAGGAGATAATAGCAGGGGACCATCTAACCACAGTCAGATTGTCAGCACTGACTGACCGTTTCTTTGCAGCTTTCCTGAAGTCCTTATATTTATCTTCACACAAGCGGGAAATGGCCTGCAAGACAAAAGAATGAAAAAACCTCAATTGCACTGACCACAGCTGTACAAGTAAAATAAAACTAAATGCAGATTTCTACATATAGGTAGAATTACAAAAAGTCACTTAATTAAGCAAAAGACATGAAGAGCTTCTCCCCAAATCCTCTTTCTCATTTCATTAATCTTTAAACAAAGAAACACACTGACACTGCATTGCCCACCACAGCTGCTTCTGAAGGACTCAGCGTATTCCAAGCCCTTTCTTTACAGATTAACCATCACAAATCTCATCAAGGTAGCTGACAATACTTATACACTGCCAAACGGTAACTCATATATAGCACTTCATTGGTGAAAAATTGTGGAAAACTTAATAAAACAATTGTAGAAATTGTAAGTATATTTGGAGAATTTATAAAGAATGGCTCAATTTTTTTATTTCCTAAAAAGTCTTCTAATAATTGTATCTTTCTCTACTGACAAATGGTCTGGCAGAATACTCGCCCTGCTTTGCTTACAGAGCTGATGTTTACTTGCCTTTCAAAGGAGATGGTGATTTTCTGTGTGATCAGGCTATCTTATATGGTGCCAGTGGGAAACATAACTCATATTTAATTTGCATTAAAAATACATAGGAATGTTAAAAACCTTTTCAAGAGAGAGACAAACATTATTCAAATGTCGACTCCTATTATACTACATTGGAGTTAACGTCTTATGTTTCTTCTACCATTTTTAGCCAAGTTTAAAACAAGTATTTAGTATGGACCTCATATGCACAAATACACTGTGCCCTAAAATAGCATGTCTATTAGAGTTCATATGGTTGGGACAGGCTGTGGTTGGCATCAGTAGGGATGTTAACTCTGGCGACCAAACACGCAGAACTGCAGAGAAAGCTCACTGCAAGGAGTACTCAAGGTCAAATTAAAAAATCAGATGAACTAAAACAGTATTTTTCTTTACTCAGGAATGCTTTTAAGTGGTGTCTTAAGATAGGATGTTTAATAAACAGTACTGTACAAACAAAACCAGTACAAGCGTTTGATTATAAAACAAGGCAATACAAATAAACAGCCTGACTCCACTGATTATCACTTTCTTTCTTGATCTTTACTGCTATAGCACAGCAAATTGTAGCAGTGAAGAGTACTTTAATTTTAATAGTCCTGCAAAGACCAGAGGCAGGTATGACAGAAGCACACAACTCTACATCTGAGAGCAAGTTCACCTAACGCTTTGGTCAAGCCAGCCACAAAACATGGTTAAATTAAAAAAACCAAAACACAAAACCTACCATGACCACCAAGAAACCAGTTGCTACTTTTTACTTGGAAACTAAATTTCCTTTTGTTAAGAACATTCTTGAACACAGTTTTCTTTCTTGGTGCACATGAAGACAACAACAGAATAAAATAACGCAAACATTCCCGTTGCTTTGTAGACCATAATTTAACTCACTTAGAACTGCTTAATAACATTTTATTTAATTTAACCAGGAACTCAATGGACTAAGAAAGTTTACGCAATTCAATCGGACTTAAATCCAATGGATGAAAAGTGTTTAATCATGAAATAATGTGCCAAGGCATGGCTTGGCAAATAGGTGTACTGAGGTGGAGCTCGGCTTCTTTCAGCTGCCAGATCAGGCTATTACCTCAGGCATCAAACAGCCAGAGAAGGTAATCACTTCAAAATTGCCTGTTTCACAGGAAAATTTCTGTTCTGGCACTTGGCCAGACAAAATGAAATTTTACTTGGAAGTGGCACTTAATATTTGGCATCTCTAGTCTCTGGTGATTAATCATATGGATAAGAAACCCATTGACTCTTGTTTAAAGCAATCCTGTATCTAAAGATGCCTCTTCATTTGCAAGTAATTTACAAAATTGACATTTGGAGCCAATTTGGCAAGTTAGTTAATCAACTTTAGCGTAACATATTGGGAAAAAAGAAAAAAGCAGAAAATTGTAAATATTTATTATTGTCCTTCAGTTAAAATAAATCCAAATAGCTTATAAACACCTTTCTGTCACTTGATATTTCTGTTGTTTTTATTGCTAGAAAAAGAAACCAATATTTGACAGTTGCAAAGGACCATTTCTCATATGAAATCAAAACATTCTTAAAAACAGCAAAACCATTCAATCATGTGAAATTTTGTTGGACTTGGTTGTAGTATCTGTAATCAGCTAGAAAAATGCATACGTATATATTCTTCCATTATATATATGCATACAGAACTAGAACTAGCAGTTCTTCTGCTGAGTTATACGAATTTAGACGAGACTTTGTCACTGGTGAAGGGGCAGGTAAGGAGAAAGGAGTGGGGAGAAAGGCAGTAGTAGTAGTAGTATAAATTTTGGCTGCATGCACATGTTTGTGTGCAGGGCAGGAAAGCAGCAGGGCTGGCTATGGCTTCACTGCTGGGAATGCACAAAGGCACACAACTGCGAGTGCTGCAACACCCGCAAAAAATGGATAAACCAGAGAGAACTTAGCAGGGACAGACAGCACTCTAAGTCTGGAAGGGTTACATAAAAGGAAAAAGTTTTAAAAAAAAAAAAAAATCAGTAGAACAACTAGAAGCTGTGATGACGGGGGTTCTCCTTAATTTATGGAGAATGAAAGAAGAGCAATTGGGTTACTCCTGACAAAAGAGCAGAGGAGTTTTGCTGTCCCTTCACTTCTTGGCTAAGAGGGTTCTGAACATACAAAACACGCAGGATTGCAATCACTGCAACAGTGGGAAGCCACTTCTCTACTTGTAACTTACATATTTTTCTCCTCTTTTTTGTCTGTTTGATCTATGGGACTGTACCTCTTTAGGGTCAAGAAAATACGGCACAAAGGGTTTGAACTACGTGCTCAGGCACTATCCTAACAATAAAAAGCTCAGACAACAGTCAGTTAAATTGGGAGTGCACTAACGAATGCTCTTACAAAATCTAGCCTTGAAACAAGCACAGTGCTAAGATCACAAGCAGAAATAGGGTAACACGTTTTGTGGACTATACCCCAAAGAGCAGAACGTGACTCATATTTAGCTCAGTACATGGGAGAATAACCAGGTGCAAGAGTAGAAAATAACAAAATAGTGGATTAAGGTTGGATATCCAACAACCTTCTTGGCAGAAAAATCTCCCATATTGGAAAATAGTTCTCAGGTGAAGCAAAGGAAGCCTTGACATTTGACGTAATTAAAAGGAAGGAGAAAACACACTACAACATAAGCTGGTTGGAACAAATTGCCATTTTTAACTTGCATGATTCCATACAATGGGGAAAAAAAAAAAGAGGGGTCATGAAAATGGTTTCTGGCTACTAGGTGGACTGGTATAGCAAATTCAGGACACTTCTAGGCCACAGGCTGATGAAAAGTAAGAAAAAATTACTTTCATTTAGACATTTAAAAGACAAAGCTGCTTCTTAAGTGTCAATTTTGGGAACATTAAATAAGGAAAAACATCCACTGCAGATGCTCCAGAAAGCGATGTCATTTTTAACAAGTGCTATAACCTCTTATAACACCTCTAAGCTGATGGATCTTGTCCAGCATTTCCATTTGATGAGGAACAGTATTTACTAGCCTCATCCTTGGTCTACTTGGCATTTTTTTTTAATCACAGGTATGTCAACCTCATGATACTTGCAGAAATAGCAATGCATATTCTGCCATGCCAGATCTAATACTCCTGCTTTAGATACATAAAATAGCTTGAAAATGCAAAAGTAGCAAAAATGTGTTATAATATAACCATTTCTCTATGCAAGACCTTTTGTGATCTCAAATGTCAGTAAATAAGTTGTTTTAAATCTTAGGACTGAGCAACATCCTTTCAGTTTACCAGACAAGGCAAATCCTTCCAATGCACACGTACATTTGCTGTGAGTCTGTTGTCTTTCATCACAGCCTGCAGCTTTTCTCTCAGTATCAAAAACATCACAGCCTGTGTGGTACTACATCTACTCCACTTGACAATCCAGGCAACTGTTCCAAAAACAGAGACCTTTGGGCTGAACAGCACATGAGAGACCCAGAAAAGTGCTGCAAAGGCATTCTGATAACTCTTGGCAAGCTAAACGCTTAACTGTGCTCAAGGAACTAGGCTATAAATTATGCTGTCAACTAGCTTCAAGGGCACACTAACGACAGACAACCAAGTATTGCCAGGGAACAAGGCTGTTCGCATCATGTTCCCTTCCTTCTGGCCACAGAACAGAGGCAAGGAGCTGGTAGACCAAGTTGGTTTCACAGCAGGTACTCATCCTCTTCCCTGAAGACATCCTCTTCAGCTAGCAGGGTTACTTTACAGCCAACTTCTGCTAGAGCACAAAGCATCCCCAATATGGGAAAAATTTTAATAATATGGATTTATTGAAAAAATATTGCATTATTTCTTTTTAAATATGCCTTCTCTTTAGTTAGTACAGAAAAACCACCAGTATTCTCTGGGTATTTACAGTCATTTACTATTTTCTTTTTTTCTAAGGTTTTAGGAGCTACCGTTGTTACCTTCCTTAATAACCCACTGTTATACATTGTGTGCGATATAGGCTGACAGTGTTGGAAAACACTGTGTACTAAATTTTCTCCAAAAGTAATTCACTCATTTTTAATATATGTAATGGCACTTAGTATCAAGACCCATCACCTAATAACTTAGTAAACTACCTCTTTTCATTTAAGATTACAATCCCAATTAATTTTCACTTTTTAAAATTGTCTTCAATAGAAACAAAATCTGATGCAAATTTACACCACACTCCATACAGAGTTAAGTTACATTCTTATTGGAGATATCTGTGAAATTTAGAAAGAATATTTAGAAAGAATGAGAAATACAACTTAAGTGAAATCTGCTTTGATTCTTTCTCCACCACTTTCTGTTCCCATCACAGTCACAAACAAGTCAATTCACCTTCCCACGCACCATTTCCCCCCACAAAAACGTCTCTAGTACTGCCTGCCTGTTTTACAGGAGCACCAGGAGTTTCAGAACATGCAAAGCTCACTCTAACCCACGGCAAACAACCTCCAGTGCAAAGCTGTTACAGAACTAAAGAATGCGATGTCAAAAGCAGTCAGCATCTAATGACAAATTTCAAAATCAGTAACAAAATGTGTACACGCTCATGCAATAACGTCCGTATTTAAAAAACTTCGTATCAGAAAGCTCAGGAAAAACAGATTTCAGTCTTGCAGAGTGCCCACAATTGGCTGATGATTTTAAATTCCTCCTGTGTCTGTGGGAATTCAGTGCCCTGCATTTCACAGGTCCAGACCATCCGGCATAGTGCTTTCTGCACATGGTATATTCAGGTCTCATAAGCATTCATGATTTATTCACTAAAGATGTGTGCTCATTTCTGTTTTCCCATTACTGAGAAAAACACCACAGGAGATAACAGACTTGGATCCACGTGAAGTGGAGCAGTAGCAGATAACAAGCACATGCAATAGTTATTTTCAGCAATACTTGTTAATATTCCGTCCTTTAAGATGGATAATCAGTTTTAAGAAACCAAATGAACACACAAAACCAGACTGTGAACAGAGTCATTGTAAAACTTGTGGGTACTTTCATAAGGCCAATTCAGACAACTGGAAATGAAAAAGAAATGCAAGACAAGGTATGAAGCAAATCGGGCCAAAAAGCTGTCCCCACATCCATGAATACCCAAAGCACAAACAAAACAGTTATGAAAACTGGGGCACATGATACTCTAATATCTCATGGGATTATTTGGGAAGGGATGGGAGAAGGGAGAAACAATGCAAAAATTCCAAATCCCCCTATATATTCAACTCTGAGCAATCGAAAAAGAAAGTGTCTTACCTCAAGTTTATACGCCCTGTCCCTGCTGAGGGGCTCCAAAGGAAAACTCAGGTTATTTGCTTCTGCCAGGGAACGCAAATCAAAATAATACTTGGCATAAACACTGGAGGGAACATTAATATTGAACTGCAACAGCTCAAGAAACTGGCGTTCCAGTTCATTCCTGTAGAAAGAAGATAAATATGAAAACACATTTCAGACTGTGCACTCTGAATGTAATTTACTTTAAATTGCAAATGGTATAAACCATGTTCATTTCTTATTCTTGCCAGACGCAATTATCCTAGCCTAAGGTTTGACCTAGTCTACCAAGTTCTATTAGCATATGTACGCCAATGAGGAACATGAAAGATGCTGCACTTGCAGCTGCTACTGCGGTGCCAATCAAATCCAGACACAAACTTTTGCTAGCGGAGGGGCACCTTTATCAGTTTAGCTAATACAACCTGGGAAAGAAAAGCCAGCAGGAAAAAAATGTTCTTGTCGTTTCTGCCGTACCTCCACTAGGTGGATCTGCACACACGGCTATGCAAACACAGAACACAGACGTGCCCTAAATTTGTCAGACATCTCTCATAAATGCTGCAAATTACTCTAACACCTAAATTACTGGAGAACTTATTTACTCTCTTCAGCCTTTCATAATCAATCATTTAAAACTAGTCATGGGAAACCTGAATTTTTCAGCATAGTGTCTTACATTTCTTTATGACAGAATGAAGACATTTTTCCCCAGGACGTGCAATCAAAATTCACAGTGGTGATCATTTGGTTTTCAGTACCTAAAACAAACGTGTTTGTCAAAATATCTGATAGGAACAGAGGTCCTACTCGAGCTCCCACCCCATGAAAACTTTGGTATAGCAATACATTATTACCTATACCAGTACATTAAAAAGTATGTTAAGAAATAAGTTGATCAACAAAACTAAGGACTGGAGATTTTCATAAATAGCACGGTAACTAGATATCCTACATAATACTTATGCAGGGACATACGATATATTCAAAACAGTGATTTCAAGATATGAGAAATAAAAAAACAAATGGGTGGTAAAAGCTGTACATGTTTCCTGAAGTGTATATGGATGGCACAGCTGTGCTACCAGCAGGTATTGACTGACTACGATATTGCATTTAAGTTACATTTTGACTGTAGTGTAAGCGTGCAAGGAATGTGCAGGCAGTTGGCAATAGAAGAGGAAGGATCTGAGGATAAAAAGAAAAAGTACTGGTACAGCCATTTTTCAACACTGAATGATTTTTCTTCTTCTCACTCTTTACTCTTATATCACTCTTACATCATAATCATTGTCTTTCCTTACCTTCACTCTCTCTCTCTGCCAAAATTCTACATTAACATAACGATAAATATTAATTAACATTAAAGGACTATCTGAAAGCTGGATATGGACTTTTTGGCATGAATTCACACTGTTGAAGAGTCTAGCTTTTAAAAAATCCAAATTAAAAAAAATTGTATTTTAAGACGTCTATCAATAAATACAGAAAGTTACCTTTAAACGTCCTTTTATACTGCCAAGATTTTACTTTCTGCAAGCTAAGCCTAAAGGTCTATGTTAATGGATAATATAAAGCCTATTTTAATGGGGAAAGACATCGGCTATACCGCTTTTGAAGAGCATCCCCAAATCTTTAAGAACAATACATAGCCTCAGATTCTTGCTATCCCCTACTTCCTAGATTTGAAGGTTAGATCAGCAGACTAACTACAGCTGAGAAAGAACAAAAAAATACAGGTATTTTGGATTTGAACTAATGTAATATAACTAACCACCATACCCTTCTTCCCCGATACCTCCACATCAGACTACTTTAGCATATGCTTTCCTGCGGCCACTCCCCAAATTCACACAGAGACTCAAGGTAATGCTACACACAATGATTACAGACACATACTGCAATTCAGTCCTCCCAAGTCCTCTGTTAGCTTTTAGGCACAGTTCAATGTACTGCTGGTGACCTACAAAACTCAGAAAGGTCTGCATGATGTTTTGCAAGATACACTTATGCTGAATGATTCACAGCAGTTGAAGATTTTGACCTAGAGTTTTTCTGCCTTATTCCTATAAACAATGGAAGCCCCCATCTTGCCTAGAGCTAGACACTTCAAAATCATAATACTGTACTTTCCCAACTACCTGAAAAATAAGAAAGAAAAAAAAATCCACCACACTAGGGATAGGAGGAGAAAAAAAAATTTGGAAAAAAAAAATAAGCATCAGGTCAACAAGCACGAAAATCTTTGCTGGAGGATTGACAAGGAGCCCCAAACACAAAGCCCACGAGCCAGATCACCAAGTACCATAGAGAGAGCACAGGCTCCCCAAAGGCTTCTGGTTTTGCAGTTTGTAAGAACGCTGAAATCTTTAAGAAAAGGTTAAGAAGCTAAAAGCTTTAAGGACAAGGACTCATCACAGTTTGGCTTAGGGAATGTGCAGTGCAGAAAGAGGGCTGATGTTAGCACGGGAGCACGGGTCTGCCACGTGAGTAATGGTGTTACACAGCTCAAGTGCAACTTCTACACTAGCACCATCACGTGTCTTTGTCAAAAACAATAACCTCTTTTTTTGTTTCCTTTCACGCCATCACAGTATGCCTCATCACCTGCCTTCAAAAAAGCCCTGAGAATCAGCAATTTCAAAACTCGTATTTATAACCATTCCTGATTAATACTGTCACACGGCACAGTCAAACCTGTCAGTCTGCTGCAAGCTGTTCAGCACTCTACTTCAACTCATGTCCCAGCTTCAGAAAAGCTTTAAAAGCTCCCAGATTTGCCTTGGAGGAGGTGTGAATGGAGGGAGGCCCTTACTGTCACTGAATACCCGAAAGCATGAGAAAAGGATCAAGGGAAAAGTAGCTTAGCAAAATCATTCAGGAAACACTCAAAACAGTCAAGGAAGCATTATCAAATTGTTCTGCATGGAATAATATTCCGCACAGAAATGTGAAGGGCCTGATTTTAGCTTCTTGTCCCCCCTACCCCCCCTTTTATTTTGGAAATCTCATTCTGGCTGTATTATGTCAGAAAAGAAGTATCATCAACCATCCTTAAAGTAGCTCACATATTTTAAAACAGATACTGAAATGGCATGATGTGGTATTTCCCACCTCTATTTTGAAATGAGAGTTTTGCCCAAAACTAATGAAAGTAGCTACAGCATACCACAGCAATGCAAGCTTTGTGTTTTTCACTTTGACTCGGGGAGAAAACCCACCTTATTACAAATTGCTTGTTAATACAAGATTTAGAGATAACTTTTCTAATACTGGAGCAATGACAGCTACTCACAATTTATAAAGTCTTATCTAGCAGTGTATGAGCATGCTTAATTTAAAGCAATCAGCTGACTCCTAACATTCAACCTTTCCCTTATAGATCATTTTTAGACCGGCTATAAATCTGACAAACAGCGAACTATTAAGAAACTAAATTAGGGCTGCTTTAGCAAAAACGCTTGGCCTTTCACTGCTTCGAGATTGCAAACTGAGATTCAAAAAACATTCTGTCAATATAAACATTTCTTCTCATCTGCTTCCCTCCTCCCAGGGTGGTTTTCCACAACAAACTTTCTTCAGTGGCTGCGATCCTGACTTAAGGGAGTTAAAGCAGAGACAAGTCTATATACTTCTCATAACAGATACTTAGCTCTGCTTAAAAGAGCTCTGAAACACACAGATACTGTACTAAAACATCTTTTTAATAATTTTATTGTTATTACTTCTTCTAAAAAAGTAATGCACCAGTCTACTGGATGCACCAGGAGACTGAAAATGCCACTCTCCGAATGCAGGAGCCGCAGCGGCCTGTCAAGGCATCCGGCCCCCCGGCACCATCCCAGCGCCAATTCCAACTGCAGCCCTTCCAGTACCGCTCTCGCACACACGCCAGCCTAGGTGAGGGCACCTCGGAAAGCGTGCGTGGTATGAACATATAGATGATACAAACCCCAGGCGCTTCAGCCAATATATGTCATACCTGCTAACCAACCAAACAAAAAAAACACTAGACTATTTAGTGAAATGAGCATTCATTTTAGTATTTGTAAACATTAAGATCTTAATTGTGTTTATTCTTATTACAGTTCTTTTTATTACTGTTGGAATATACTCTTAATATGACTCGGGAGTATCCAGCCAGATATCACAACTCTCTATCCTGTTACAATATGCACTTCTTAAGAATGCCATCAGATTAAAAAAATGGAAAAATGGAAATTTCTCTTTGCAAGTTAAAATACTAGATTTTTAACATCTTGGAAATGAACTCAGCAGGATACACGGGGAAAAAAACCCCAAAATCCAAAAGCACTGATTTTGAATAATGGCAATAAGTAAGTGGGTGATCATCCAAGGGTCATGAGGATCACAACAATTTTTCTTCCTGCCTTACAGTTGGCCTGCTGTCTGTATGGAGAACTAGCACGACACTAAATGTTGCTGAAGTGAATACATGCAGGCTCATTGGACGTGGGGTTTTTTGTCAAGTCATACATTTAAATATTCTGCAGGTCTGTTTTCATCATCATGCATGAACATGTAGTGGTGAAATACACTTGAACCAGAAAACAAAAATAATTCATGTCTTCTATGTAAGCAACTGTCAGTAGACCTCATGCTATCTATCAGCATCCACCATGTTTAGGTACAATGCAGATATACAAACTTTATAGAATTTATGAGAGAACTTCCCATCCCCCTCATACACACAGATCTTGGCATTCATTGACAAAGATAAACATACTGCACTCACATGTCTTCGACCGTGATATCTTTCAGAATCTGGCAGTAATCCACGTTCCACACTGCCTGGTCGTCCCAAACTTTGGATGCCAGTAGAATTGCACCCAGTACAATTCGCTTCCAGTTTGCCGGACAAATATCTATCTCTGCATAAGTTAGAAGTCTTTCAAGATACACCTGTGGAAACACATTAAAATAAAGACTGCATCTATTTTGCTATTAAGTAGATATGAAAAAGAAAACTATTCTCATAAACCCATTCCAGCAATTTTGAAACAGTAATCTGCGCTCAGAAAGACTCTTCTAAAAAAGCTGTAGGTTTAAATATATATATTTATGCCAAACTCAAGACTGAATGTGATAAATTCATATTTTAGTCTGCCTTTGCCTTCTGATCATATTACCAGCAACAAAACTGTTATTTTTCTATCTGTAACTGTTGATAAAATAGTCACATGTTGGAATGAATTAAAATGATAGCTTAAATAAATTATTAAAACAATAAATAAAATGCTAATTACTAATGAGGAAGGTAAGATATGCTAATAATAGTTACTAGTTATCATACAAACAACTACAGTTGTAATTCACAGGCAATCAATTATCAGCTATGGCATCATGTCATGCCAGGCCCCTCCGGCGAACCTGTGTGAAGAGGTTCTATAGGCACCTATAGGATGGACGGAAGAACAGAACCACAGAAACAGCAAGCTGAACAGAGAGGAAAACTATGCGCTAAGAAGGTAATTTGTAACAGTTTCCTCTGGACCGATAAGTTCTGGAGATGAGTAACAGTAATCCTGTTGGACCTACAAGAACAGACAAACTCAGGACACCATAGCTTGGCCCAATCTGCCCAAGGCCACCAGCACAGGCTAGCATCATCCAGAGCTCGTATAACCCAGACCTCATCCAAGAGGGTGGTGGGTACTACTTACAAAGACTACAGGATTATATACGCACATCTCATGAAACAAGGGACCCTGGAGGGACTTTCTGAACACCTACCAAAAAGCTGCTGGGGGGGAGGGAGTGCAGTATGACCCTCTGTTTCCAAACACAGAGCTAGGTTGGCCCCCACATCTGATGCTCCAGCCAGGGAACGATGGGTGAATATGCGAGGGATCCACAGGATCAATACATAAAAATGTATTTATTACATTATTAATAAGAGATTGATGAACAAAATGCGTTCTAAGAAATACCGGTTGTGGGTGATCTGTGTGCCCCCCTACTCTATCCCCTGTTAGGGACAGGGAAATTACAATTATGAATATTTACATGTGAGGTGAACAAAACTGAATACTTCTGCAATCCACAACATTTAAACAGTTTATATACTAGCTGAGAATACACATAATAAATCTCCTGCAGTTTGACTAAGTTAATGTTTATTAGCACCTAATCAAATAATATCCAAACAATAGCTAATATATCCAAAATTCAATGTAGGATACATGCTGGGGGGGGCAGAAGAGGAAAGGGGGGACATGGGGGAAAACTTTAAAACCCAGAACAGCTCACTTGTCATTTTCTATAAGGATGCGCACTCATACAAGCACACAGAGGGTCGACCTTCAGTGATTTGTGCTTCAGGAAAGATCTAGCATTAGTAGAAAAATATTACATACTTAAAAAATAATAATTCATATATTTCAAAGCTTGTATATTTTTATGAGAATTCATGTATTTCGAAGCTTGTATATTTTTATGAGCCACCAATAACATCAAGGCCAATTACATCCCTCATACAGTTTTGTTCATTAATTTTCACAATTATGATACGTACAAGTAATTAGAGCTTGGTAACAAGATCATCAAAAACAGTGGACAGCTGTTGTATAATTTAAAGTTTTACAGAAAAAAATACATTTTATGAAAAAAAATCTTAAATATCTGAATACATGTACACAGATAATTCAGCCCACAAATGAACTTTCCACACACTCTGCAGTATAAACTGCATACTGAGCAAAAAAAAAAATGGGAAAAATACAAAACACACAGTATTAGACAACTTTTGTTCAAAGTGGCCACCAAGTGTAAGTTCTTTGCTTTCTACTCTTACTGAAGGAAAATAAAACTCGAGTTACAGTGTCTGTAATGGTCACTTTACATATTACAATGAACTCGTGTAAAAAAGTATAAAATTTCCTTTCCTCAACAGACCACCTCTCCCAAGAAACAGATTTCTCAGTCTACTGTGAGGTTGTTTCAAACAGGTTTCACTGCACTCTTCTGGCAATGATTTAAGGAAAATCAGATGCAGTCATTTATGAAGTTAGTAAATTCTGCTCTGATACAGAAACAAAATGTTTTACTGCCTTCGTTAGCATCAAGGAAGTGAACTTGTTCTGCAGTTTCGTTTCTCACCCGTGGAACTACTTGCTGTGCATGAAGGAGCAGAACTTGAAACTGGAAGTGCTTCAACATGACATAAAACCAACAATTAGTCCTGATGATACACTACTCTATAAAAATAAAGATTTGCATTTACTGAAGAATAACCTATTTTTTGTATCTTGTAGTAGATCTTACAACACCCTCTTCGCTGCATTGTGATAAAAAGCAATTAGGTGGTTATTTAAGTTGCTAGTACACTTACAAGAGTCTACACTGACCAACAGAAACTAGCAGGAGATTTTATGAGATACTCTGATGAAAGTACAATATACATATATTATACCTACCTATACATATATACAATATACATGTATATATACAATATACAATATACAAATATTATACCTACCTGAAAGGCTTCATAAAAACAGAACACTGCTTGGGATTCTGAAGGGCCAGCATTTTGTTTTACATTTTAAATACCTAAAGACATTCTTCTACAGATGCTGAAGGAAATTTACTTCTGCTCTAACAGAAGAAATACATGGCTGCTAAAGGAATGTTTTCAGTTTTCCTAAGATATGTATGTTTTAAAATAATGTTGAACATTTTTACAGGAGGGATTATGACTGATTTATAGATAATTACTAAAACCCACAAAACATTTAGAAAATATTTATCCCAAGTTTTGAGGATATCTGTACCTTCAAATAAATACTGGACTAACTTTAAACAAGTAACAGCAACTAACCTATAAAAGGAGCATACATACAAAATGGTAGATGTATAGAAATCTTACTTGGAAAAGCATCATCTCCTTGACACCACCAATGCCAAAACAGTTTCAATGAATTTTTGAAATTATAGAATACTCAAAAAGTCTGAATAGTTACAGTATGTTGGATATTACAGACCGGTCAAATAAAAAAAAGAAGTCTCAGTAAAAGATCTTTGGCCTTCTCACTCCCCAAAGGGTTCTCCATTTTTCTTGTGTTAACGAGGAATTAACCTTAATCAGGTGTTTTAGACACTCTGTTGAACTCAAGCTACATCATTAGGCACAAAAAGGCATAATAAACATTCAAAAATCTCTGTGAAAACAAAGTTATACTCAGCTACAAAGTCAGAATATTTATAGCATGAGACCTCACAGATAAAACTATTGATTTTTCAGGTTTTTTCTTAAAAAATAAGAAACTTACAGGTAGCAAAATATCATAAAACTAAAGCTGAATTTTTCAAAAGGCCAGATGCCAGACTCCTGAATACACCATTTCTTCTTTAGCTATGATTTGCCCCTGCCTGCCATCCTAACACTGAAGAAAACCATAAAATTATCTTACAATACTATAAAACAAAGTATCACTAATTGTTCAAAAAATTATTTTCCTTCATAAGGAAGGCAAAACGTTATTTAACCACAAAATTACAAATTCCAAATTATGCGTCAAGCCCCTTATTAAAAATACAGTTTTGAGTTTTTAGTTAGAGCACCACTCTGAAAAGACTGTGATGTATAAAATTTGGTATTGGGAGACCACAGAAACACTAAGCTCAGTAAAAAGGTGGCGCATGGATCTCACCAGAGTCTGCACTACCTGATGATTCTGTTTAAAAGGCTGCCTTTTGCTTTCCAGGCAGCTTGTGTAAACAACCCCCTTACACACCATATTACACAAACAAACTTGTTCAACTTAGCAAGCAAAACTGCTCCCTGAATTATGAACAACAGGAACTGTCCCCAGGAAGCAGAAGACTTCTTTAAAGCAATACACCGTGCTAATGCAGGGAGCTTCATCAGCAGAAAGCGTATGGAAGCCGTAAAATCATGCCACTCTTAAATTAGGAAATGAACTTCATTTGCTTCACATCAGTGCTGAATTTGATCCTTTACTGTTAATGCAAACCGCTTAAATTTCAACTTCCCACATGCAGTTTTAGTAGATTTTGAATGAATACTCCACATCTAAGGATAGACAAAGCATACAAAAATCAGAAAATAATATCCTTTCTTATATGCAGCTCTAGCTTAGAGAGAGAAAAAACAAAAACAAAAAAAAAGAAAAAAGAAGAAAACCAAGTAAGGATTCTGTTGTGGGCTCAAATCCAAAGGCATTCAGAGAAGAAAAAGTAAACTGACAAGAACAGGTAAGAATGATACTGCAAGGAAAGACATAAAGTAGAATAATTCATAACAGATGAACATACACCTTGAGCAGATGAACTTATACCTAAGTGCAAAGGGAGCGTAAACTTGCTACTACTTCCCACCAGCACATACTTGAGAAATCAGCTTTAAAAATTAAATAGGAGCTTGATAAGACACTATTCTTATATGACCCTCATTACCGTATTTGAGCATCTGCCATTAGCATGTTGAGGGATATGAATAATCGCTCTTGAGTCCTTGGTGATAACTTGGGCTTAACTCCAGACATACTGTTTGCTGGGGTGAGGCTCTGTATCATCTTCTGATAAAACTGAAGATGGTAAATACCTTGCCAGGAGGAAGGCGCTTAGTGTGGCTTCTGGCTCCTTCCTTGAAAACGCCCTAAAAGCGCATTTTGTTTTGTTCACTTGCTGTGGCCTCCCTGACTCAGTCTTGGATTTTAAATGTATGTGTTCAAGTAAGAGAACACAAAAAAAAGAGCAAGACGACTTCTCACAGCAAACATTTGTAAAAGTTTATCAAGGTCCTCAGCTAATGTGGAAATTCACTGTAAACTAGGACTTGTCTCCTAAAGATACACCTGTGCTGTCACATTAGTGTAGTTCTTCAACTTTCAATCAAGCTCACTCAGTTACACACACAGCCTTCGTTCTAGCTCTCTCTA